ACCGGCGTTGTCCCTAGGGTTTCGAACGTCGTACGTTGTTTTTTTTTTTTTTTTTTTTTTTTTTTTGACATGTAAGGACGCTGCAACTTGGTGATGAAATAAGAATTATATTGCAAAGCTTTTTCTTCTTCTGTTTTGGCGGTTACATAGAGCATTTTAGCAGGAAAAAAATTTTCTGCTAAAGTGCACCCTCGTTGAGTCTTAATGGCAAGAAAGAAGAGAAATAGTGCTACCAAGATCTTAAGCATTGGTTTGAGATCATCAAATCCTGATCTGCAATTCTCAGAGGATCGTATCGATGCTAGAATTGTTGAAGATGAAGAAGAATTTGGCTCTGGAATCATGGGGTCAGCGGGGCCAAATAGGGAAAAAAAGAATAAATCTATGGAAGAAATCTTCAGATTTGTAGCTTACTTGAAAATCTTGCAACTCAGGTATCTCCTCAACCTATTGGTTTTCAAACTCGTCAGTTAGAAAGTTCCTCCATCTCTCATAATGATGCGAGTAGTTCAAGATCCACTTGGGCTGATAATGAAGTTGTTGAGGTTAATTTTCTTGAATCGATACGGAAATCAAACTCTGAATCTTTGAATTCCACCAAGAGAGATGAGATTAAGACAGATGCTGATAAAATTCGAACTCAAGATAAACCAAGGGAAGAGATGACCTTTGCTGGATTTCCTCCTTTTAATGCTTTAAATGATGATACTATTTTGAATCTAGTGAATGAACCAAAAAAGAGTTGGATCAGTTTTTTTACTGATAACAGGAAATTAGGAAGTGGCATGACTTTGGATTACATTCCTTCACAATCCAAAGATTCTGTGAAATTTGAAAAAGAAGAATGGATAGAAGGGGAATCCATGTGGAAATTCACACTCATTGGACATGTTATTGGGTTAAATGCAAAATTTAAAGCTATGGAATCATTTGTTAAGAAAATCTGGGCTCAGATAGCAAATCCTAAAATTTTCTTATTGAAACCAGGCCTTTTTCTTTTCAAATTCAATAATATGGAAGAGTTGAATGAAATTCTTGAAAGAGGCCCTTGGTTTTTTGGTTCAAGACCTCTCCTCCTCAAACACTGGTCTATAAATGAAGAAATTGAGAAATGCTCCAGTAATGGTTATCCAATGTGGATACAATTACCAAGCCTTAGACTCAATTTATGGAATGCAAAAAGTATAAGTAAGATTACAAGTGTTGTTGGTAGACCAATAGCTACTGACAAACTCACAGCAACAAAACAGAGATTAACTTATGCAAGAGTTCTACTTGAAGTTAAAATGCCATTGCAACTTCCTGATCACATATCAATTCAAGGTCCAAATGGTGAAATGATAAATCAAAAGGTCTTCTATGAACATAAGCCTAGATGGTGTGTATCATGTAACTTGATTGGACATGATACAACATCATGCAGAAGACAACAAAAAATTCAGAGATGGGTCCCTAAACATGTTTCTGGGAATAATTGTAATGTTCAAGTGAGCAAAGATTCTAAAAAGCCAAATTCAGGATGTATTAAAGATGGGAATATTCCAATCTTGAGTTCAGAAGGATTTTCTGGACCTATTAAGGACTTAATTCCTGAAAAATCAAATTCTGGATATGTGAAGGATATAAAAATTCCTGAGCATATGCCTATTCATGTCACTTAGGAAACAATGGTTGCAAAGGCTATGGATGAAATGCAAACCCAGTTTGGAAAATCTATGCATGATGTGCATGTTTTGTCAACAGTTCAGAATACTATGGAGAAGTCAGCTTCACTCTTGCAAATCCAGTCTAGAAAAGAAGCACAATTTAAATTAGCAGGAGCAAACTCTGTGCATGCTATGCATGTTTTGCTAACAGTTCAGAATAATATGGAAAAGTCAGCTTCACTCTTACATTCAGGTTCAGGGTCTGCTGGCTCTAAGCCTATTCATGTTATGCATTCAATCTATAGTTCCAACTCTAATGGACAAGGATCTGCTCAAAATGAAAATTTCTGGATGCATGTTAAGAAAGGGAAAAACAGAATGAGTGATATTAATTATTTTTCCCCTGTGGTTGACATAGCAAATGAGATGGATCCCTCTATTTTAAATAGAGGTGAAACAAATTGATGAACTGGTCTTTTTGGAATGGTAGGGGTCTGAATAAATCCCCTAAACAACACTTGGTGAAGCAACATCTATTTCAAAACCATCTCTCTTTCATTGCTCTTTTGGAAACTATATTGAAGAATACTAAAATTCCAAGTGTGACTAAAAGAATTGCTATAGACTGGAATTATATTCTAATGTGATAAATTCAGAGAAGGCCAGAATTATGATATTATGGGACCCTGTCATACTAGATGTTCAAATTACTCATGTTTCTTCACATCAGATAACATGTCTAGTGAAGTTAGTGGATGGAAGAACAGATTGTATAGTCTCAGCTATTTATAGTTCAAATCATCAGGAAAATAGGAGAGCTATGGGCTGAACTTTGTCAAATATATCAAACAACTGGAAGTATACCATGGCTATTGTGTGAGGATTTCAACATAATGATTAGTAATGAAGAAAAATTGCGAGGTTCCATGCTCACAGATTCAGATATAAATGATTCATGGATTCAAATTCACAACTCTAGCCACATAGAGTTCTTGCTCCTTAATTTCTCTAACCACTCCCCTTCTATGGTCTCAATCTATGAAGATGATTTTTAAAGGAAAAATCCTTTTAAGTTCTTCAAAATGTGGACCAATCATAGCAACTTCTTAACCACAGTCTCTTCAACATGGAATAAAAAAATTGAAGGATTTAGAATGTATTCTGTTTTCACCAAAATCAAGCTTTTGAGGGATGGCCTAAAAGAATTAAACAGAAAACACTTTGGTAATATAAGTGAACAAGTCCTTAGAGCTAAATTTGCTTTAGAGGATGTTCAAGGGAAGCTGCAGGAAGACCACCTCAATCCTGTGTTGATTAGTCAGGAAAAAGAATGACTTTCAAAATACAACCTCCTTCTAAACTATGAGTTATCTTTCTTCCAACAAAAAGCAAGAATTCAATGGATCATTAAAGGAGATAGATGCACAAGCTATTTCCACTCAATTCTTAAGGACAAAAGACACCAGAACAAGATCCTGGTTCTATACAACAACACAGGTACCAAACTCACTGAGGGAGATGACATTATAAATGAGCTAATCTCCTATTATAAAAACCTAATGGGAAAAGAAGGTATTGTTTCCTCTCTTGAGATCAAGATTATTCAAAATGGCCCCTGTCTGAATGATGACCAGGCCAGGAATTTATCTTTACCTATTTCCAGAGAAGATATCAAGAATGCAGTATTTTCCATGTCAGATAACAAGTCCCCTGGTCCTGATGGCTATGGAGCATCTTTCTTCAAATCTGCATGGTCAGTGATTGAAGAAGAGATTACACTTGCAATTGAAGGCTTCTTCAAAAATGGCAAATTACTGGGAGCAATAAACTCAAGCTCCATCACACTCATACCCAAGGTACAATGTCCAAGCTCCCCATCTGATTTTAGACCAATTTCCTGTTGTAATTTCCTATACAAAATTATTTCAAAAATCCTAGCTAACAGAATACAATCAGTAATGGGGGTACTGATAAATGATTCTCAATGTGCTTTTGTAAAAAGGAGGCACATAGTAAATAATATTTTGTTAGCTCATGAGTTGGTCAAGAACTATGGTAGGAAAAGCATTTCACCAAGAGCTATGATCAACATTGATATCAAAAAGGCTTTTGACACTATCAATTGGAAATTCATAGAAGAGATGCTGGATGGTCTGGGTTTTCCAAAAGTGCTGACTAGCAGGATTATGACTTGTATTAGTACTCCAAAATATTCTATTTCATTTAATGGTTCTTTACATGGATACTTCAAAGGAGAAAGGGGGCTGAGACAAGGAGATCCTCTCTCCCCTTACCTGTTTATCTTGGGCATGGAATACCTTTCAAGAAGCTTAGATTTTTTGAGGCAAGTTAGGGACTTCAATTTCCATCCAAAATGTGAGAGGCTCAAAATATCACACTTAATCTTTGCTGATGATCTTTTATTATTTAGTAAAGGTGATTTGATCTCAATTCAGAAGCTATACCAATGTGTCACAAAGTTCAGTGAAGTATCTGGCTTAGAAGCAAATACTAACAAATGTGCTATATTTTATGGAGGTGTAGATGATGAAGCCAAAGAATCTATTCAATCCTATCTAGGATTCACTGAAGGAAAAATGGCCATTAAATATCTAGGTGTTCCCCTAGTGTGCAAGAGACTGACATTTCTGGACTGCACCTCTCTCTTCTCAAAAATCACCACCAGTTTCAGAATTATTTGAAGCACAAAAACTTGTCTTATGCAGGCAGGTTACAAATCATCAAAAGTGTCATTCTAGGCATACAAATATATTGGACATCCAGTTATGTTCTCCCAATTAAAGTGCTCCAAAAGGTGGATGAACTATGCAGGAATTTTCTTTGGGGGAAGAATGATCAAACCTTCAAAACTCCTTTGGTCTCAGATAAAAAGTATGGTGGACTGGGGATTTTTTCCTCAATCATATGGAACAAGGCTGCAGCTTTAAAGACTTTATGGGACATACATACTAACAAAGAACTTTTATGGGTTAAATGAGTCCATGGTACCTATCTCAGGAACATGAATGTATGGTAAGTAGAAATAAAAAACAATGATTCCTAGTTATGGGTCCATGGTACCTATCTCAAAAATCATCTTGTCAGATCTATATTATGCTCTAATTCCTACTACAAACAGAGTGCCAGTGTTATGGAGTATCACAATTTGGGGGAATCTAAATTACCCTAAGCACTCTTTTATCTCTTGGTTAGCAGTTCAGGATAGATTTCTAACTCAAGATAAGCTGCAGAAAAGAGGGATCATTTAAATCAACAAATGTGTGTTATGTGCAAGATCAGAAAGTGTAACTCGAAATCACATGTTCTTTGAATGCAAGTTTTTGACTGATATCTAGAATGGAGTTATGAACTGGTTGTAATTCAATTGGAAAAGTTGTGACTGGAATCATTTGATGAATTGGTACGAAGCTAACCAAAGGAGAAATGCATTCAAGATCAATGTTAAAAGGATGTCTCTCACCTCCTCTATTTACAATATATGGCTGGAACATAATGGGAGGATTTTTAAGCAAACATACAGTACTGTTGAGCAAATCATCAAATGCATCAAATTGGACTTAATGTCAGTTGTTCTAAATAGTGAGACGCCTTGGAGATACAAAAGCTGGTTGATTTATTTATAAGTATAGCAGGATGCATTTTGGTTTCAGGTTGTGCACTATCTGGTGGTGCATATGGATTTACGGTCAATTATATTCAACAGAGGGATGCCTTAGAGATGCAAAAACTGATTGATGTGCATTTTGAGCAATATCTGGTGTGTAATTCAGATGGTGCTTTGTTTGAGGAATCTACGGATAGAGTAATATACAATGTTCAGGCTCAAAACAGTGTTTCTTTTGAGCTTTAGATACAAAACTTTGTTATCTCACAAAATGTGATGAGATTCTTGATGTACATACTCTTTCATATTGGTTGATGAATAAAATCATTTTAAAAAAAAAATTGGTGATGAAAGGTCTCTCCAAAAAAGGAAGCTATTTTCTTCCTCAGAAGATGTATTCTTTCGACCAACACCTCTTGACCCTCTGTTCAATTTTTCGAGTCACGACAAACTACCAAAGGAAAAAAGAGAGTTTGGATTTGGTTTGAACGTACTAGGAAAGGAATGAATTTATATAATAACTAGAAATGCAAGTAATAGCGTTAATTAAGTTTAACAAAATATTCTCCCCCGGTCACACAGAAGTCGAAAACGGGACTTATTTCGAAAAGCATATATGAAATTAGGCAATAAATAGCAACTTCAATGATATTTAAAACTAATATGAAAATATGAATGATTTAGAATATATATATGTAAAAAAGCCCAACCTAGTTCAAATGTTAAGGTCAGAATAGCATGATTTTAATTCTTTTAGACACCCCATTGAATCGGGTTATCTATACCATACACGGATGGTTAAAGGGATAATATAGAATTTAAGTTATTTAGTAAATTATGTAAATCACCCAACTCACATAGGGGTGATTTTAATCAACCATATGATGTGAGTTGACTTTTCTAAATTTAAATGCAACTTATTTGCACACTACCGTTCTTTTTCTCTCAATGATATTATGCTACTCTATTCATCTTGTTAGTGGTTACACATTTAAATGTAAATTTTTAAAATTGTTTTTGTTATTCTTGTGCAGCAAGGATTTTGTGGATTTTGCAAAAATATGTTTCATTGAGTTTGGTGGTAGGGTTAAAAATTGGTCAACAATCAACGAGCCATGGTCTTTTGCTACTCATGGATACAGTCTTGGGTGGCATGCACCATCGAGGGGCGTTGAAGGTGTTGAATTTGGGAACCCATTGACGGAACCATATATTGTCACGCACAACCTTATTCTTGCTCATGCAGCTGTTGTCCAGCTTTATAGGGACCACTTTCAGGTACATATAATACATCAAAATAAACATCTTTAATGACTTAGGAACTTAGAGAAATTTAAGGGTTAAATGACATACTATATCTAATAAATTAATATAGTATCTCCATTATTGATATTAATATTTAGTTACGATTTAAATTGTGCTAAAGTTTAATTGTATATTTTAGAAAATTACTCTTTAGGTTTTACATTTCCACTTATTTTTCAATTTCTTCTTGCACAAGTACCGTATTAATTTCTTCTTTTCTTATTTATATGGAAATATTAATTTCTATTAAATGTCCCATTATAACTGTGAACTTCGGTTATCTCTTCTTATATTTTAGGCCATACAAAGAGGACAAATTGGCATTGTAATTAATAGTATATTTTTCAAGGAATACTCAGACTCGGAGGCTGATAAAAAAGCTGCTAAGAGAGGGAATGATTTTGTTCTTGGCTGGTTCGTATAACTGAATAGCTTTATATAAATCATAAGGGTGCGCGTGAAAGATGTCATAATTTATATATGTGCTTCCGATTTCATGCAGGTATATGGATCCATTCGTACATGGAGATTATCCAAAAACAATGAAGGATATCCTCGGAGACAGACTTCCACGATTTACAGAAGAAGAGAAGAAAGCCATTAAGGGCTCTTATGACTATTTCGGGATTAATTATTACACTTCCAGTTATGCAAAAGACAAGCCAACGTCGGGTCAAGATTTCACTTACTTTGATGATATGCAAATATCGCAAGAAACAAGTAAGACATATAAATACAGCCTCAAGCAATGGATATTTTTCTCCTTTGTCGATGTTAGTTTCGAGCTCTAGTTTCCATAGTTTAATTTGTTAAGGAAGTAAATCTCCGTGCACATCAATGTTGTGTGGTGATAGATTTATTACATTATATATCTATCAACCATCCGTTCATGAGTTTACTTCTCTTTTTATATGTCTCAAAATTGTCACATATATTACTCATCATACAGGTGCTTATTTGACCTTTTTATACGAACACGTACAATTGTATCACTTAATGAAAATCACATTAAGCATAAAATCATACGGTAATACTTATCTTGAATTTTACAGAGAACAGGATATGATGCATGGTTGCAATTAGCATAAAATCATACGGTAATACTTATCTTGAATTTTACAGAGAACAGGATATGATGCATGGTTGCAATTGGTATATTTATCTCAAAAACCTCTGATTTTAAGGCTAATATTTACATAAAAGTTTACAATCCTGGATTATCACTTCCTCTGTATACTTATTTATGCCGGACATTGTTGCGCATGTGAAAGAGCTAACATGCATATTCTATATTTCTTGAAAAATTTTATAATATTTGACTCATAAACTATAATTAAATATTATTTAAGAATTAGTAAGGTTCTTTATAACTTACTGGAGTTTTCTATTTTTCTTCCACAGAGAATATTTTTGGTGAACCTATTGGAGAACTGGTAAGTCTGAATCTTTTTTCAAACATCGTGAAGTTTTAATTTTGAAAATACCACATTGATGATATAGAAGTTAATATTTTTAGGGACCTACTTAATTTATAGTCTTTAATGTAGTTCTACTTATTGATTTCTACTTCAGCATGTCAAGGCGATAGCATTTGTTGAGTATTTGTTATGCTTGTATATTGTACTAACTTTTTCTTTATCTATTGCAGCATGGTTCTTGGATTTACGTACACCCTGAAGGAATTAGAGAACTATTGATATATATCAAAGAAAATTATAACAACCCCAACATCTACATTACTGAAAATGGTTAGTACCTTGCTTAATATCGAGCTTGTGATTTCCAGCTTACCTATTAGTAACTTTCATGTAGTTAACCGTTGTGCTTTGCTTAACGTGAAAGATCGATATAGTTAATAACACCAACATCTATTTTACTGAAAACGGTTGATACATTACTTAATATCGAGCTTATGATTTCCAGCTTACCTACTAGTAACTTGCATGTAGCCATTGTGCTTTGCTTAACGTGAAAGATCGATATGGAATTAGTTTAAATTATGTTCTCATGTTGATGACCTCGCTACTGTCCATTCAGTCTATTGTTGCAAGAGGTCTCAACAGTGTATTGTTTCAAAAAAACGTTATAATTTTAGATGCCATGTATTTTTAAACGAACAACCGATCCCTCTATATAAAAAACATATGGAAAAATTACTAAAATTAATGAATTAAGTTGTATCGATCGCAGCACGAAAGTGAAAACCTCGAAATCCACCAAGGGTGCTTTTTAAATCCACAAAGAACTTTGAGTCTATAAAGAAAATATTAAAGAGAAATATTATAAGAGAAATTTTATTGATGATCAGTAATGCCCCTAGGGCTGACAATCCTTTGCCTAAATAGAAAATAAACAAGACTCCTATTGGGACCCGAACTTTACCAAAAATAGAAATAACAAAACTATCCTCAAAAGACTCCCTATGATTAGGAAAGTAAATCGGTCAAATTTGGAATCAAACCGGATTTGTTTTCTAAGCAAAACAGGTTCCTAAAATATTACCTAAAATAGTAAAAAACTAACAAAACTCTGTCATCTCTCAATTTAGGGGAAATTTTACAAAACAAACGCGATTTACATATATAATTCGTCCAATTCTGATGTACGATTTGGGAGATATGGTCTGTTCTTCGTTGTAAATTTTTTTCCTCTGCTCAGCCTGCATTTGAGCTTTTAGCGTTCCCGTTTCTCCATGAATATATTTGTAGTGCATTCTACATCAAGTTATAAATAAGCTTGCACCAGCGCTGCTCTTCATCTCAGAAAGGTCTCACAAATATACTAGGTTTTCTCTTTTATTTCTTTTCTATATCTTATTCTGGCTCAAACACGTTTTATGTTGTCTTCTCTTCTTTCTCTAGAAAGGCTTATTTATAGGAATCCTTCTAGAAGTATTTATAGAGTTTTTCTCTTATCTTGAGTTCATATAGGATTTTTATGTACTTAAATCGATCAAACCTAATCCTTTTTAAATTGAAAGCTCAATTCGAATTGAAATTGTTTGCTTCAAATCGAAGCCAAAATTTCAACAAAGTCAAATTAGGATTCGCTGACCACAGAGATAAAAACCTAACAATCTCATTTTAGGCTTGAACGCAACCAGCTTTGAAAACTTATGATCTATTCCTTGAGGAATCTTTTGCTTTGTGACCTTCAACTTTTAAGAGAGATATCAAATCTCATGACTTCTACCCTCCCAAAGGGCTTAATAGAAACTAATGATGTTCATTGATTGATGCCAAATCCTTTTTTAACTTGTACACAAATCACTGCAAACTTCAAAACATCTATAGAATAGTGGTAGAATTCAATATGTAGTTACTGATTATTTCCTAAAAATTAGAAAAACTAGACGAATAACCATTAAATTTCCAAATTTTCCACTTAGGGTCGTTCTAATTGTTGACATACTGCCTCATGATTTTCCAATTTCAAATCTATGATGCTCGATGGGGTAGGGGACATAGTTTAGCTGATGTGAAACTCCAATGGAGACTTCTTTTAGGAATCAAAGTATAGTTATTAGCATCTTTTTCTCGTGGCCAATAACCTCTTTCAATGAAAAATTCCACCTCGAATTATGTTCTCGTCAACTAACTTGTATAAACATACTCCTCAAAAAGAAAAAGAATAAAAAAACTTGTATAAAACATTACCACACCACTTTCTAATTAGATGAGGTATGTTCTGCAGCTTATGATGCATATGCATATAGGTGTAATACTCCTTCGAATCAAGCACACCTAATGAGGAAAAAAAAATTTGTTTGACTATTTGTATATACAGCTCAAACTCCTTAAAATACAATCATGTCGCCATGTTTTCTTTCCATATTGACTACTCCTCTACTTGTAACCTTACACTTTGTTTCACGTGCTATATAAGCAGTTTCTTTGACTCAAATGCTTTTAAAATATCCATCCATACCGGGCACCTTAACATCAGAAATGAAGAAAATTTTCTGGATAAATTCCTCTAGTAATAGATTGAATAAGCACGTATTTCATGTGATCACTTAGTTGACTACCCATTCATCAAAGAGAATCATCAATAGTAGATATTAAGCACGTATTTCATGTGATCACTTAGTTGACTACCCATTCATCAAAGAGAATCATCAATAGTAGATACAGGAATTGAAGAATCTAGATAATATTAGTTGACTACCCATTCATCAAAGAGAATCATCAATAGTAGATACAGGAATTGAAGAATCTAGATAATAACTGCTCATAATAAGAAACATTCTCGGCAGGAATATCTTTATGTTTAGTGGAGTTTTCTTCCATTTGAATCTTACATAATCCGAATAGAATAAAAGTCCTAACTAATAAAGACAAAACCTCAATATATAAATTGAAAATTTTTCTTGTTAGTAATAAAAGTTAAATCTTGATCCAAGTGAAAATAGGGTTAACTAAGTGCAAAGAAAAACCCTAACACAGTGGTCTTGAAAGGACATGGAAAGTCGATCTGCTGTAAAATGAAGCATAATCAAAGAAAAATGTCAACATCCGTCCCGATGTTCTCTCAATGAAGGGGAAGTCGAGAACTTGAAAAGAAGAAAGCAAAAATATCACATACGGAATTATATTTTTCGTCGCACTTGAATATTGGTAGCTTATGGACAACAGATATAACTAGAAGAAAATTTATGCAATAAACCGCATGAACTTTTTATCATGTTTTCTTTCATAAGAACATTATACAATAGACCTTACCTTTACACAATAACCTTTGCAGGAACTGCTGAGATTGACAATCCAGAAATAAGCAAGGAAGAAGCACTTAAGGATGAGAAGAGAATTGAATATTTGCAATCTCATATTCAAAATGTGCATCTTGCAACATTGTAAGTAAATACTATGTACATCACAAGAATTCATTGTTATATTTCAAAATAGGCTCATGTGCATTAATAGCTGCACGCATTATTTATACATAAAAGTCGACAGATCATAACTGATTACCGTTCAATAAAGAACTTATTTAGCTGTTTAAACATTCATAATGTGAGAGTATTTATATCATTTATTTTTTAGAAGTAATTTAGAAATGTGGACTTATAATTCACCGTATAACTTGACCTTCGTGGATATGTTTATTTTTTAGAAGTAATTTAGAAATGTGGACTTATAATTCACCGTATAACTTGACCTTCGTGGATATGCAAAAGAATTATATGCATGCTTAGAATCTAGCTTGTTCTATTTCACAAGGGAAATTTCTCAGTAATGTATTAAGCTGGCCATGCATTTGTGGTAATTTCGGGAGATAATAAGTTTCTAAATCATAGCCAACTTTGTGAAAAAAATATTTTTATAATATTTTCCTTTACCTATGGTACTTATTTAAATACCATTCCAGATATGGTCAAAATTTGAACCTAATGAAATTAAAATCTATTTCTTTGTACTGGCAGGGTAGACAATGTTAACGTGAAAGGGTACTATGTTTGGTCGCTGGCAGATAATTTTGAGTGGCAAAAAGGATACACCGAAAGATTTGGGCTTGTTTATATTGTTTGGTCGCTGGCAGATAATTTTGAGTGGCAAAAAGGATACACCGAAAGATTTGGGCTTGTTTATATTGATTATGCTGATGGGCTTAAACGTATGCCGGCAAAAAGGATACACCGAAAGATTTGGGCTTGTTTATATTGATTATGCTGATGGGCTTAAACGTATGCCCAAAAAATCTGCAGGATGGTACACCAATTTCCTCAAGTCCTAAATCACCTTGTATGTGATGACTCTCACCCTCATGTTTTGTAGTCTTGTATTTTACATTTAAGGTTTGACAATCTTCTTTATTTGACTTTGAACAAGTCAGTCTATGTAATATGATATGATGCTATATGGTAATAAATCGGTGAGGTCATTTGAGTCTTGATGAGTTTGAATATTTGAGTGTCTGACATGTTTCCATTTTTCATAGCTTAATGTGGTTGTAACCATTTATTATATTTAACTAGTTTCACGCCCGTGCGATGCACGGATTTGTTTAATATATAAAAATTGATGTAGCAAAAGAATGCAAAATAAAAAAGTAATAATATATAAGTAGTCAGAAATGATACAACCTAAGTTGTATATATAGTTTGAAAAATTAGAAAGTTTGGAAAACTTGAATCCATTTAAAATCATATATAGTTTGAAAAATGTAAATGTGTAAAAACAATATTGAGAAATTTGATGGGAGTTATTTTATTATTTATAAGGTGAAAAAATTCAAAATTAAAGTGAAATGTCAAAAAAGTATCAAAAATTGGTAAACTTAAAAAAATTGAAAAAATGAAAGGTTTGGAAAAAATGTAAACATGGGAAAATAATATTTGAATATTTTGTGCGAATCATATCAATATTTAAACCGTTGATAACTTTCCAAAGAAATTGGTAAAATAAAAGTGAAATGTCAAAAACCAAAGAAATTGGTAAAATAAAAGTGAAATGTCAAAAAACAAAGAAAATATAATACCTATCATATAAGGGGTGTATGACATCCACCTTGAAATGTCAAAAAACAAAGAAAATATAATACCTATCATATAAGGGGTGTATGACATCCACCTGACGAAATTAAGAGACAATGTAATACCTAAATCAAATAAAGTCAATGTAAGAAAATTGTATATGATTGCAATTTAAGAACATCATCAAACCATAAGAATACAGCATAAGAAGTACTCAATTAGTTAAATATTTATATTATTTATGACAACACCATTAAAATGAGAAAACTAAAAGCATTTTTTTAACAGCAATTGAACAATACTAAAGCTGAAACAAAATGAAATAGGTATCATTCAGTTAGACTGATACGTCAAACCATACTCAGAATCAAGTCCAATAATCCGCCTCCTTTCCCAAGTCCAGTACCGGATACTTCTCAAGGAGCTGCCACTGAATGTTACATAATCATCACTATGTTCCTACGAAGTAGTTATCTATTTCATCAAATCTATACTTCGAAACATCCTCGTACGACAGAGAACTTTCAATAAGATACATGAATTAAAGAATAAAATTTGAGTTTATCAAACATGCACATAAGTGTTTCCGTCGAAAATTGTTGTATTCATTGCGGTATTCATTACAACTTCAATCGTTACAATGAAAACAAAAAAAAAAATTGTCTTTTTATAAGACTTTTACACAATGAAAACAAAAGTTTACAACTCTCGTCAAAACAAACGCAGAGGACGTTTATCGGTCTTCTGCTTGCGTGGGATCTTTGCCTGTGCCGGGGTTTATCCGTGGACCGCCTTTGATCTGGATCCGGTTGATGAAAAATTTAGCAGAGCTTCGTCTTCACCGAGGAAGTATTTGATTTGAAGCGCTGAGATCGACCAAGCGAAATCAGGGCTCTTCTCGAGATTAAGACCAAGCCTAATCTCAAGGGACGGACGGGAACGGGCGTCGGATCTCTCGAACTCTCCTTCTTTATGCCGAAGAACTCGCCAAGATCTGTCAACCCTCGCTGAAATTCGTGCTCCTTTGACTCCACAATCCGGCAGCACCTCCTCGTCTTGATAATCAATCGCCCCTGCTGAAAGGAAGCCCTAGGTTTGTATTTATAGGGCTTCGGAAGCGGTTATTTGGATGAGAACAAGTGATTTGGCTCTATCTTCAGTTAACAACAGCCTAACCACGTTTGGGGATGATATCAGGTCAGTTAGAAAACTCTGGAACTGAAAAATCCCGAGAAAACCGTCAAAAAACCGAACATGGGTTGAAGTAGCGCGCGGGGGGCAAGTCTGACCCGCGCTTGCGCGGGTCGGATCAGTCCGACCCGCGCTTGCGCGGGTCGGACCAATCCGACCCGCACTTGCGCGGGTCGGATCAGTCCGACCCGCGGTTGCGCGGGTCGGACCAATCCGACCCGCGGTTGCGCGGGTCGGACCAATCCGACCCGCGGTTGCGCGGGTCGGACCAATCCGACCCGCGGTTGCGCGGGTCGGACCAATCCGACCCGCGGTTGCGCGGGTCGGACCAATCCGACCCGCGCTTGCGCGGGTCGGACGCCGAGCTATGCTAAGGGACCTATAAGCAATTTTATATGCCTACAGATACCCCCTCCAAAGTATTTCAGACTCTTTCTTTTATAGAGGAGTCTGGAATGCTTTGGATAAGATAGGCCATCTCCTCAATTTCGTAGAGTGACCTTGAACTATCTCAATTCTTAACTTCTTCAGTCTTCAATCTATTCATTGTTTCGTCGAATAGGTGAAGTTCTTCCGGCGCTGCGTTTATCGTCTGACCGTTGTCGAAATCTTGAACTGAGATTGGTGTGTAAGTTTCTGAACTTAGCTCGTGCCATTGAGTTGACTTTGAACTAATCCTCTCCGTCGGGAATTCATATCTGATTGTAACTGAAATCCTTGGAGTCATCTTTTGCCTTATTTTGGCGAAATTGCTGATGCGTTGACCGGCATCGATCTTTACTGTAACGCGTTGACCGGCGTTAACACAGTTTATACTCGTACGTTTGCTGGAGTCTACACAGTTTAAGCTCTTAAGGCATTGGAGCGTGACGGTCCCGAATGTTGGGCTGCAGGACCAACTATTAAAGCTGATTCATCTGCACGTGTGGATCTTATCCTGAAGTTTGTTGGATGTTCAAGTCATGAGACCAACTAATGAAGCTGATACGTCAATGACTCGCACTTATAGAATTTTTGGCAAATTCTCAGCCATCAACGGGTTTGATAAGCCTTTACCGACTACCGTTTGAGTCGGGCTAGCATGCGGATTGTTTAAGTCCGTTCCGCATGTAACGTTATGCTAAAAGAGTTAACTCTTTTAGTGCTACGATATTGAATACGTAGACTTCGTCTTTCTCCTGTGAAAAGACTAAACAGCGACGTGTATCAGACGTAGACTTTAAGGTTTTTGGCAAACCCTAAGCCTTCAACGGATTTGGCGTGCCTTTACCGATTACCGTTTGAATCGGGCTTGCATGCGGATTGTTTAAGTCCGTTCCGCATGTGACGTTGTGCTAAAGGAATGAACTCCCTTAGACTTGATGCTACGATATTGAATGGTGAAAGACTAAACCGGCAACGCGTGTTAAGCGTTGGCTTATCCCTGCTTAGGATTCGGGATGAAAGTCCCCAGAATTATACTCTGGTGTCTTTTTCAATCGGTGAAAGACTAAACCGGCAACGCGAGTTAGGCGTTGACTTATCCCTACTTAGGGTTCGAGATAAAATTCCCCGCGCGTGTGAAGCACGGATTTTGGCGTTATGAATAACGACCTGCCACAATGTCGAATATGTGGATTTTTGTCCTTTTCACGGCAAAAGACTAACCGGCAACGCGTGTTAGGCGTTGACTAATCCCTGCTCAGGATTCGGGATAAAATTCCCCATGCATAAAAGGCATGGATTTTTGCTGCTACGATGCTGAATACGTAGACTCGGTCATTTTTTACGGGAACGAACCACCCAGCAACGCGGGTTAAGCGTTGACTTATCCCTACTTAGGCTTCGGGATAAAATACCCCAGACTGGATTCTGGTGTCTTTTTCAATCGGTGAAAGACTAAACCGGCAACGCGTGTTAGGCGTAGACTTATCTCTATTTAGGAGTTGAGATAAAATTCCCCGTGCGCAAAGTGCTCGGATTGGAAGTTGAAAGTTGTGTCTTTTCTAAGAACAAAGACAGATTAGAAAATGGGAGAGGAAGAATTTTATATTCTATCTCCCGGTACTGAAGAGGAAGAATTTTATATTCTATCTACAGTAGGAAATGAAACTCAAGGTGGGATCTCCACCCCCAGAATCCGAAAAGATGAAACTAAGAGTGAGATCTCCACTCCGAGAATCAGAAAGGTTCAAACGACCCTAACTTTTATAGGATTGGTCATTTGAATCAAAAAAATCCCTCATTCATTGAGGAGAAAGCCCAATTTCGACCCTAACTTTTATAGGTTTGGTGAAAAAGGAACAAAGACAGATTTTCGTTTATCGAAAAGGAATGACTCGGTCTTAGCCTTAACTATTTGTAGATTTGACTAAGTGAGATCGAGAACAACCCTAACTTTTATAGGTTTGATTATTCGAATTGAAAGTGGACCTCTCGTTCATGGAAGGAATCGAGAGGGGAGTTTGGTTGTGGCCCTAACTATAGGAAGGTTTGACCAGGTAGACAGTGAGAGTGGGAGTACAAATCATAGTGGGGGTTTAGTGTTTATCACATTGTTCGTAATTATCGGGTTATCCCTAAGAAAATTACATATAGCGTTCTTCTGGGAACTTCCCATTACATGAATCATCTACCCCCAGCTTCTTTCTTGGAACTGGGTCTGACTTTGTACTCCGTTACATGTCCGGGTTATCCTTAAGAATATTAGCGTAACATTCTCCAGGAACTTCCCATCAACGGTAAGAAACAGTTTAGACTCATATACCTATTGGAGTATCAGGTAGCAGTTTAACCTCATATACCGATTGGAGGATTAAGAAGCAGTTTATACTCTTATACTTGTCGGAGTCTTGATTCGACTTAATTGAACGATATAACGCCGGCTTCAACCAAGGTTTGGATGCTATTCTTGAGAGCAAAGCAATCCTTGGTGGGATGAACGACCCTCCTGTGGTATGCACAGTACTTTGGGTCCGTAGTATTGTCAGCTTCCTCCTGATTTATGATAGGTGGTAGCTTGATCCTGTTGCTTCCAAAGTTCGGAAGATTCGCCGTCGGTTGGCTCCTCTCGGCTTTCTTCCTTCGGAGGAAGCGTTCGGCCCGCTCTCCGCGCGTCTTCAACTCTTTCCAAGTGTTGGACGGTGCGACTCCCATAACTTCTAATATCTCAATAGATAGGTTGTTATGACATGTCTGGAGGATGAAGTCCTCCGTGATCGGATCTCGGCAGTTCATTGCTTTATTCCGAAAGCGCTTGA